AAATCAGCCATTCCACTGTCCGGAAGATAGTCTACAAGTGGAGGGCTTTCAAAACAACTGCTTACATGCCCAGGTCTGGTCGCCCCAGAAAGTTCACCCCAAGAGCAGACCGCAAGATGCTAAAAGAGGTCTCCAAAAACCCTAAAATATCATCTCGAGACCTACAGCAGGCTCTGGCTACTGTTGATGTAGAAGTTCATGCCTCTACAATCAGAAAGAGACTGCACAAGTTTAACATGCATGGGAGGTGTGCAAGGAGGAAACCTTTGCTCTCTAAGAGAAACATCAAGGCCAGACTGACATTTGCTAGAGAGAATGTTGACAAAGACCAGGGCTTCTGGAATAATGCTCTTTGGACAGATGAGTCCAAAATTGAATTATTTGGACACCAGAGCAGAGGACATGTTTGGCGTAAACCAAACACAGCATTCCAGGAAAAGAACCTCATACCAACTGTGAAGCATGGAGGTGGAAGTGTCATGGTTTGGGGCTGCTTCGCTGCAGCAGGACCTGGTCAGCTCACCATCATAGAATCCACCATGAATTGTACTGTGTATCAGAAGGTGCTTGAAGAACATGTGAGACCATCGGTTAGGAAATTAAAGATGAAGCAGAACTGGACCATGCAACATAACAGTGACCCAAAACATACTAGTAAATCAACCAAAGACTGGCTGAAAAAGAAGAAATGGAGAGTCCTGGAATGGCCGAGTCAAAGTCCAGATCTGAATCCCATTGAGATGCTGTGGGGTGACTTGAAAAGGGCTGTACATACAAGAAACCCCTCAAAACATCTCACAGCTGAAACAGTTCTGCATTGAGGAGTGGGTTAAAATTCCCTCAGACTGATGTCAGAGACTGGTAGATGGCTACAAGAACCATCTCACTGCAGTTATTTCAGCCAAAGGAGGTAACACTAGCTATTAGAGGCTAGGGGGTGCTATCTTTTTCCTCAGTTAGAATAGGCATTTTTGTAGAATTACATTTACAGAGGATCTTGAAAAGACTTTTCTTTGGTTTTACTTGTTTACTTGTATTACTTTAATCTCTGTATTGTTAAAATTGAGATTAAATAACCATATATTAAAACATGTTACAAAATACACATGCTTTCAAAGGGTGTCCTAATTTTTTCACATGACTGGAGCTAGCTTGGTCCAATAACAAGTACTCACTTCTCAGCGTCAGAACAAATTCTAACTTGGCGTTATCTAGATACACTGACCACATATTCTCAGCCTACGTGGTGACTGTGTCGCCTGAAAACATGTCACAACTTAATGAAGTGGCGTAAAACCAGTCCTACAGATGAAACTGAGAACAGCTTTGAGCCTGTCTCCAAACCTCTGCCACCAGGCTCTCGCCCGGCTGTCACTGCATAGAGCCAATCTCTCCCCAGTTGTGGGCCGTGGCCTCGCTGGGCTCCTTTGGTCCCTGTCTCACACAGCGGGGGGGCTGAGTCACAGCACTCACTTTCCATTGACAATGACCGGACAGCTGTCGCTGACCAAGGGATTTGTCTCAGTGTGCTCACTGTGCTCAGCAGTGCAGCAGCGCACTTTGGCCACAAGGGGGTTACAATACAGTCAGCAGCCTTCCCAGCATTCACAGTGGGGAAGAATTTAAAAACACTACTGCATGCAAATTATGATATGGATCAGCACCAATCAGTTGTTCTGTGAGCCGTACCCTACCTCTCCAACACATTTCTTAACATCCGTTACCTTTTTATGTTTTACTTTTAGCAACCAAACAGATCAACAAAACAACAAATGCTGGAACCCCCCCCCAATCAATTTGTGGAGTTAATGAATAATAAGAAACTGATCATAGAGAAAATGACCTGAGACAGTCAACTGTTTCTAACTTCCTGTTGACTCAGCAGTTCTCAGAGACCTGTTTGTTTGTTTACCTGCTGACTTATCTACCTACCTGGCTCTCTCTCTGATCAGATGGTGGGGATCTACCTGGCCAGGACTCTGATCTCTGACATTGAGAAGGTCAGATTCAGCTACTGAAGCCTCCACCTGTTGGGGGTAGGGCTTACAACAGGTGTTACTGGATCAAGTGTCTCCAGCCACATGCCGCTTTCTTCTTCTTTAGTGTCTCTGCTGTATCTTCACATCAACAGCTTAGTCTTCTTCTGATTATATAGTTGCTATGGTGACAGGAACCACGGCAGTCTTCTGTTTTGTTTGTTTACACTGAAATACTAGGAGCATTCTCTAAGAGATGCTTTGTTGATGAATGAGTTATATTTTTTTGTTGTTTTGTCACTGTGAGCATCATTGTGTAAGAGATTTGTACCAGACTGCCTTCACTTTTCCTGTGTTTTAACATTTTTCAGGTTTCAACCCTAACCCTCCTTTTCTACTTTTTGAATGTTTATTGGACCAGTGTGACCTTTGGCTGTTTACTGTTCAGCACCACCTTCATCACCATGATTTTACTTCCAGGTTGAACTTGGGTCTCCACATCATGTGTTTCATACTGATGTTCTTCCTCATCGTCTATTAATCACTGATGATTTTCTTTCTGTTAGTCTTTTTGGCTTTCAAGTGTCATATTAATCTTGTTTGTTGAAAACTCAAAGAGAATCAGTTTACTAAGATGGAAATCACTGGAGAAAGTCACAGGAGAGAATAAGATGATTAATGTATGAAATTATTGATTCGCATGCGGTCTTCACCTTCAGTGATTTAAAACAGGAGCTGAAATGTTTTGTAAAAACATCCCTAGATTATGACCTCAGCTCAGGTGTGAACTGGGACAGTGAGAAGAGGAGGAGTTAGTGATGTCATCCAGGTGTGATAGATCAGGTGAAGTCCCTTCCACACTGATCTGTTGCAAACCGCTGATCTGAACTTATAGAAACACAAGGAACAGCTGGAAATCTTCATGTGAACCTGGAAACATTAAATATTTGTGGCCAAAAAAGGTTGCTGAATAATTTTTTGTTTGATTGGCTGTGTAGCTGTAAACATGACAAGAAACCCGAACCCTCTTTTTCTACATTTTGAATGTTTATTGAACCAATACATATTGATACTGTATGGTAATATAATTCATACGGTATAGTATCAGCATGTAATACAGAATTCTTATTGAGGAAGGACACCACAGAGGAAGAATCACAGTTCAAACTGAAAATAAATCATTAAAACCATGAACTGTTCTTTAAACTCTTGAAGCCAAGTCATCACATGTTTAACTAAGAATGACGTCACGGACACTGGATTCAAGATTAAGTGCTTTGAATAAATACAATGTTTATGTACAAATAAAGATTTCAGGATGTTGGAGCCGATAAGAACAAACCAGACAATTCAATTTTAAGAAATGTTTATTTTTTCAACTTCTTTTCAGTTAAGTGAATTTTATCTTTTTATATTCAACAAAATAAAAGAAGTTTGTTTTGAGTTTGTGTCAAGTGTTTGTATTGTGGTGCTGGCGCGCGGTGGCCGCGGGGGGGGCGCTGTGCTACAGCCTATGGCACTACATCTCCCTCC